ACTTTAATAGTAGGTAACCCAATGTAAAATAGGTGATGTTGAACAAAAATTGCTATCGAACCAATTCCTCAACTTGCTTAGTTCAAGATTCCTACTCCTTTTTCTTGGTTTGCATTTTGCAAAACATATTATCTGCAATTCCAGTATTCAGCACAACACGACATCCCTTCTAGAGCTTGCTTTATTTCTGTTTTCCATTTATTGGCTTATTCTTTTCTGAATTGAAATATGACCATATTTATTATTTAGCTTTTGGTTCTTCAGCACTCCAAACTAATTTCGAATCCTTCGTTTTTCAATATTTACAAGAACACATGTTTTGTTTTATATGCTGGATTGATTTTTTGTAATCGATATCATGTCCTATAAGTTGGCTTCATAGTAAAACTCGTGGGATCGAAACTACAAATCATAATTAGATTTTATTGGATTTTTGGTAATGAGTTGAAATTACTAATGGAAACTATAATAGAATTTTTTTTGTGATATATTGGCTATTTGTAAGTATACTGTCTGAAACGGTTTGATGTGACTTTTTGTGCTTTTTTCAAGAACAAAAACTCAGGTTTTTGACGGAAAAGATTTACGGAGTGAAGATTCTCATACATTCCATTCAAATGACAAAGTTAATAGCTGAGTCATTCAGCATTGTTCCCAAATGCATTAAGTGAAATTAAGTAAGACCACATGTTCTCACGGTCCTTTTTTAAATAGTTTGATGGGATTCTAATGGTTTTGAGTGAAAGATTTTCAACGGTTTCTCTCTCTTCAATTGAATGTTTATGTGTATCTGTGTTAACACACGAATATCAAGTGATTGTAGTGATAAAATCAATTCGGAAAAACTGTGTAGGATGGGTATTGCAGCTTGGTCGTATCACTTGACCCTTCTAATGAATGGCCTATATTAGGATGTGTGGATACGGCGTAGAAATAATACAAAAATCGAACACTACGATGCATGCTCGGTACACCTTTCTTTTACTGACAGGTAAAGAAAACGTTGAACACACTTTCTTTCCTTTTTAGAAAAGAAAGTGATTATCCTCCACTAGCTTTACTAAGTTCTCCAGTATTTATATATCCTCTGAGTATTTATGCTTGCATTCATCACTCTAGCTTAATTTGTCCATTGGTAATAATATCAAGTAAGCTATTTCGGAAACACCTTTTAACATTAAAGACGATTTAAGAGCTTTTGCGAATTATTTCCAATAATTTGAATTCTAAATTAAAAGAAAAAAATTGTTTTAATTGTACACTACCGAACCTTCCTCAAGTACTTCGTACGTAATTCAAACAAATTTAGCTTCTGCATTGATCGCAAGTAATGTACTGGAAAGAAGAAACATAGCACCATGTCCCATCGGTTCCAGGCCAATGTATCGTCCCGATGGTCAACCACGCAAATGCCTTCCTCATCAAAACAGCCTTTGCGTAAACGCTTTGCCAGATCAGGTTAATTTATGTGCTATCCTCAAGGATGTGTGAAAATTTCAAAAAACTGTCACCCTTTTATTATGTAATTTGAAGCCTAATGCAGCGACGGTATGCTGTTGGCATAATCAAGTGGATTACTTCTGTTGTCTTGATGTAGCACCATTGGACTGCCCTGATTATCACAATGTCACTGTGGTTGTACACAATGCAAATCCGCAAAATCCATTCGCTCTGCGTTCGTTTCATTTCAGGTACACTTAATTTCAATTACTATATTTGTCTGAATCGCTGTAGCTTTGATTCTGTTCAAAGGTATTTTAATGAGGCATATCATTATTTTTTTTTGCAACTTTTCTAGAGTAAATTGACAAAAACTTCCGTAATGTTTGGGTCGAAAGAATCAGTTCAAAAATTTCAATGAAGGATAACATTCTTGGTCCATAATCTCTTAAAGAATTTGAAAATGAATTGTTAAAAAAACATAAGAAATATTCGGTAGTTGCAGATGTTTACGGTTGAAAATTCAACTTTTGAAGTGGTATTTGATCATCAAAAATAATCATAATTTCCAGCTATTTCTGTGTCTCCTCTTCACCGATAGCACTACTTTTTCTTAGCATTAGTGAATTGGTACTTCTGCGAATTGTATTATTCCTCCAATCACTGACTAGCACCTGTAAACCAGAGTAACTACCGCTAGGGCATCAACCTGAATAAGGTGGAAAATTACACTTTTTACTGGATCATTACCTGTGTTTAAGGAAAGTAAGCTAATTAAACTGATAAAGCTGATTTGTAAAATGTTCGCGCTTACTAACCTTCTCCCGATTCAGGAATATAAAATCCTCTGGGGAACCAGCCAACAAAAATATCCCGTAATTTGCTTCAAACATTATATGCGCTGATGTTTGCCTGCAAAATTTTATTCAGTGAAACACAAAAGCATGCAGTTCTCACAACCTTTTAAATACAATCGCTCAGAAAATCTAGCAAAATTCGGGTGTGTAGAATGACTATAGTTCCTGTAATAACTTAAGCTTTTAACAAATCGAATTTTAAGAAAGAGGGTCACAAAAAATAGGCTATTTCGGTATGCCAAGTTTGCAATTTACCTCAAGGGAGAGGAAAAAAAATAGTGAATTGGAGAAGCAAGCCAAATATTTTACAGGATTTGAGGAAGTATTGATTAACAAAAAGAATAAGTTGGGCCGTCTCAAACTTTAGATCATTCGTCGAAAAGACCGAAAATCTTAAATGGGAAAGTGAAATGAGGAAAACCCATTTTGAACTTAGTAATAACAAGCGATCTTGATGAAAAATATTGGGAAACATTGCAGTAATTTGACTCAACCAGAGTTGTTTATAATTGAAAACAGAGTTGAGATGAAGTTACTAGTAGCAGCAGTAATAGTAGAATACTTCATTGAGGAGTTATCGCTAAGCCCGTATCAATCAGTCAGTGTAATTAGTTCTTCAACCTAAAAGGCAGTAAATATTTTCTGTAGGATAATAAAATATTAAAGATTTGGTTGATATGGATTTTTTGCTTTTAGCAATGATTCATTGCTTCTATATCTTAATTTTGCATTTGTCTCTGAAATTTACAGAGAAGGCATTGAAGATGAGATAGCTGCGATGACAAAGGAATTAATACGCGATAATACAGTGCGTGAAGAGAAGGAAGTTTTGGTTAGGCACAATAATGCACGAAACTGATTGTATTAACATCACTTTCAAATTGATCCTTGTATTCTGATGGTATAGTTCTAATGTGCAATAGCGCTCGAGTTTTTGTAAACTTTTGTAAATGTATGAAATATGGCTCTTGTTTCTTTCGTTAAAATTTCTTCTCAAAAAATACTTTTTACAAATTCTTCCGGGCTTGTGACATAAACTGTTACAATTACTAATGATCAGAATTGAATGTATCATTCCAAAAACTGTTCAAAAGAAATTTATTTTTGAGCACACCTATCACACTGAAATCAATTTCATAATATTTATAAAACAGTAACAAATTCCACAGCCCATGAAGAAACATATAATTAGTACCTAAAATGAACAGTAGCACAGTAGCACTTATAAGCCTTCCTTCACATTCCTGCAGTAACCACAATTTTACTATTTTTATATGAGCTAAATCAACAGAAAAGTTTTCTTGGATTAATTGTAACAGCATGTTAAGCTAACTGATGGAAATTCTGTTAAAATCAAATTTACCCCATAATTGTGCGACTCCCGAGGTTTTACTGAAACACAAATGGATTTGTTACACAGCACAACCTCGAAGACAGATCATTGATGGAAATTCAATTCAATGGAAATTCAATGCTTCAGAAAATTAATTTCCAAAAATAACTGCTCATCACAATAATATGCAAAAAAGGGTTGAGAGGACCATGCAAGTTTTGTAAGGCATCAAGTTTTCCTCCCTCATTACCTTAATCCTTCCCGAACAAAAATGCACCTTTCGTCTTCAATGTTTTTGACTTCCTTCCTTACGTTCATATCATTCAGAAACTATAAATTATGCAATTATGATTTGTAACTATTTTCTAATAAATTTTAGAGTTACTTTAATCGTCTAAAATGTATCCAATCACATTATAATGTAACCAGCTCACCAGAATGAGGGAAGGATGATGTCGTAATCAAAGAAGAGTTTTACTGATGATGATGAGGAAGGATAAGCAAATTTGATTTCTTCTATCAAATGGAAAAACTTTTGCACATCATAAATAACTTTCACAATATAAAGAGATATATTCCTTGAAGTATAACTGTATTTGTTTAGCAAGTATGATAGCACCTTCGCCGAGCAATCAGTTTGTTATCACAAACTGCTGGTTGTGTCGAAAAATATATGAACTCTGAATAACAAAAAGGCGACGGAAATGTGTCTCGCAGAAAATACTGCCATCTGTTGATCGCTGGCAATTTTCCACCCTAAAGATGTTTGAATTAAGCAAATTTTGTGAAGAAATCGATGAATAACTTTTTTGTACTTTTAATTCTATTCCCTGGGAGTCATGTTTGAAAGTAATTTCCAGAAATTTGTATCACTCGCTCCCATGGAAGTTCCCTTCAAAGTAATAAACGCATGGAAGCGATCAACTACAATCCTGTATCATAAGAAATATCTGATTTAGAAGAAATCAGCAATAGACCACCGATGCATACAGCTTGCCTGATAAACTGGTACATCTCAAAAAATTTACAATTCCACTACATTAAAATGGGTTTTCAAAATTATTAATTTTTTAACAGAATCAAAGAGCCGATTAAGTGTTTGGAATCAAAACTGAAATTAGAAAGAAAATAATATATTTGGCAAGTTACACTGACATTAAATAATAGGCCTGTAAAAAAAATTTCGACACAATCATTAACATTCAGTTCATTTCTTTGGGAATTTTACATTTGCGAAGATCTTTTAAAAATTTTAACTTTGGATGCAAATAATTTACTCCTCGCCAGTAAATTGTGATCGATTTAATTGCCATATATGCAGAAAATGTGATGAAGGTAAGTTGAAGGGATTTAAAGACGTTCAAGCTCAAATATCAACCAGGATGAACTTTTCATAAATTTCTTAACTTGATTCCTGCAAACATTATGGTAGCAATTCAAACCGTGCAGGAAATACAAAAAGAAGAAAAACTGTGGTTTTTGAGACATGAAAGTTTAAGATTGGGTCCACATAAAAATGCTTGGAACTATAAGCAATTTTAGAGGTTTATAGCCTTTTTGGCCCAGCCTAAACGTAAATCCAGTGTTGCTATATATTACAATGTAAGCCAGAAAGGATTCCGGAAAATGTCGACTTCATTTGTACTGATACTTTTTTATTATAATACTCCACTTCAATAAATGTGTTCAGCTTTTTCAAAATTCTTTAATGTGCTGGCTGTGAAAGTTGTGAACTCTTAAAAAGATCCCGACGCTAAAATTTTGACGGGAAACCTAAGAACCCTTCGAAAAAAAAGGTTAGAGTTCTACAATATTAGCTACTCACGTTGTTCTGAGTTCCAATATGATAAGTGCACTATTCATGCAGCATTTTCTATCACTTTCACTTTTTTTTTACAAACATATTTGGAATTTATATAAATCCCACCACCATCAAGCGAACTAAATGCATGCTAATGTTGCACTGTACGCTGTTCTACAGTGGTAGTCTGACCTGCAAAGATTTGGTGTTCCAAGCCAACGAAAGCCTGACTAGTGGTTGTATGAAACGGATTTTATCTTCTGCCCTTTCAAGCGAAACAAATGCGCAATCAATGTCGGCCGTAGAATGGAAGCCCAATAAACCACTAAGCAGTTGCGGTTTCTAATGAAATTCGATTTGAAATCTAAATATGCTTCTATCACCATTACAGTCTCCTCACATGATAGAATAAAAAGTTGGTGTGAAAAGAAAGATTTTCGGACAAAAGTCAGTAGAGGGCAAATACTTCAAACGAATGAACTTGGATACCTTCTAATTACCATAATTTAAGAAAATTAAGAAGTCTGAGCAATTAGTTACTGGTAAAAAACATGAAAAATCTCATGAAATCAATAGTGAGACCAATGCTCTATAAAATTTTGAAAGGGGTTTACAATCGTTCAAGTTTATCGGCATCGCTTCATTTTCCGAAAGTAAAATTTAATTTTTACCTTAAATGCAGACCGCAGTGTTTACATCGAAAACATCGCAAGTGATATATTTGTGAGAAACACTGCAAACGCTCCGCAAGATACACAACCTTACCGCAGCTATTGCACAACGGAGAAGATGCCAAGCGAACATTGCAAATCTGAAGTGACGATGATTTCATGCACTGATTAAAAGAAAAAACACAGCAGTTCTAACTTTATGTTAATTAAAAGATATGTTAATTAAAAGATATTAAAGGACAAGCACCTATGAGGTTAAAAAAAGTAAGTTTGTGGATTTATTCATTTTCGAATTATTTCCTATCCTTATATCACTGTGCAAATAATCGATAGTCATATCTACGAATACATTCAAGACTGGTATTGCAAACTGTTTTTGAGATGTCAATATATCAATATATAACAAATAATGATACTATTACTGAAAGGAGCGATGAGTTGGGTGACCAGACATTGGTAAAAAGAGATTTAAAATGTTTAAACACTGTTAGTGAAAGCAAAATTTTTTAGAAGAGATTGCGGTTAAATTAGCTCACACAAATAAATTCAACGTGCATTTTTTATTTGTTGGAAACCCATAAGTAATAGACATGCGAAACAGTGTAATTTGTTTTATTTTCATATGTAGGAATCGTTCTATTTCAAATATTTTTACTTCAAAAATAAATAGACCAAATGATTAAAACAATTTTGAATCATGAAAGATGGCTTCTTAGTACGTATTGAAACACTGAAACATATGATGTGCTTACTTAACAACGTACTTCTTCTGCATCTTTTACTTTTCCTGCAAAGTGTTTTTTATACTACATCTACTTGAACGTATAATTTATTTGCAAACTTTAATTACTTTATTCACTTCATGTAAAGTTCGATTCTAAAACTTTAGTTGCAGATTTCGATAATTATTCTATCTTTTGTTCCGAAAAATTTCTTAACCACCATGATATGTCTACGTTAATTTACTCGAGAGCTTTCGAGATTTGAGAAAACAATCCACTGTACAACTCTTTTTCAAATTTATGCCACAAAGAGATGAATTATTTTCAAAAATGAACTGTAGTTATAATTTTCATAAAATAGTTGCAAAATCACGGACTAAAAGTATTACAAAATGGTTCGTAACAAACAAGAAGGAGACATAGATAACTAAAGCACCTGCAGAAGTAAGTAATCATCAAAGAGTGACGAGAAAATGCTTATTTACCTGAAAGTTATCAGACTAACCGTTTGCGTGGCATTTTTTGGAGGCATCCGACTCTTTTCCGCTTTTTTAGCCTCCTTTTTCTGAATTTTTTCCCACTTTGCGGCCATTTTCGAAGCATGGTCAGCAGCCACACGAATCTCTTCTTTTTCAGGAAATTTCCCTTCTTCCGAGATTTCTTCTCGAACAGCAGCTGCTTCTTTTTCACCTTTAATCCAATTTCACAGCATACTTATTGCATTAGATACGTTAAGGTTAAAGCTTCTTTTTTGGAGGATGCAAAACCCGATTTTTATGTTTTTTTTCCAACTGAATCTATATTTAACAGAAATTGTTACGCCTCAATCTCTCAAATTCTTCTTCGAGCTGTCTGCGCTTTTCTTCTGCTGTTTCATTTTCAAACTTCGTTCCAACTTTTTCGAACTGTTCTTTTAAATTACGCGCAGCTATCTAAAAAGCCTTGGATGAAGAAGTATATATTCAGCAGCTACAAAATGAAATGTAAAGGTACAATTATTTAAGACGTATCAAAACATTTACACAAGAATACCTTAATTTCATCCAAATCACTTGGCCTTTCATGTTTTATTTTTGTTTCCTCTTCTCTACCAATGTTTGTGAACTTTTGCATGAGGTTTTTAACATCATAAACATCGTCATCTTCTATTTCTTTCTCTGCAATTGATTTTCTTTAGAAAATAAGCAATAATTAAAGTAACCATGAAACGATACACTGAAAACAACTATCCCCTTTCATGCTATTCCTATCACATCCTAAAGACTTGTAAGTCGTTACGATTTGTTTAAAGAATGATTTGAGGTAAGAAATGAAAAATGAGAATTTATATACTGATCTGTCGATTTCCGAAATGGACATTTTTCCATACTCAATTCAAGGTAGATCAACAGTTCGGGCGAAGATCCTTTAATAAATGAATGGGTGAAGGTGTATTTGGAAATCGTTTTAACAGAACGTTATGTAAATGAGTTCAATCTTTCTTTAATTTTGAAAAGAAAGAATAATTATTTATAAACTTTTTGCGATTGACGACAGACCTTCATCCTCGACCATTCTTCTGTTCACTGGTTCCGGGATTGTGCTTTCCTTTTTGTCCCATTTGCTTATATGCTTCTCTTGCTAGAAAACATTGATAAATATAAAAATTAACTTCGAAATATTTTAAGCTTAATTGAAGTCTTTTGATTTGAGTGCGAGGAAATACTTTTAATAATTAAAATAAAATATTTTAATTCTCAACGCAGTGCTAAATTACTAATCCCCACCTGATTCCGTGGAGCAATTGTTTGAGTTCCTTCAGCATCGATTTGTCGGAATTTCTGCCTAGCTTTACCAGCCATTTTAATTTCCACATCCAATTGTTTATCTGAAGAGTTTCTACCTCATTTTCATATTATAAAACGATATTGCATAAAACATAACAGCTGGAGATCATTAGTGGCCATCATCAGCTATAAAGCACAAACCTTCATGTTCATTTCTGGAGGAATAATCACCTTTTTCGAAACGATTTTTGATCTCTTCAACCTGAATCTCTACTCCAGCTTCAATTCCGACATCATCAGATACCTACGTAATTTAAGGTGAATAATTACGGTGGAGAGTAAAAATGCGAGACAAAATTGAGATAATAACTCAATTGGAACATTTCAATTCATAACGCGAAGTAGGAATTCTTTAGGAAATCAGTAGTCAGATTTTGGTACAATTTCTCTCAATATAAATGAAAAAATTTCAGATGAGACTTCACTTCATCGGTCTTCACTTCGTTATTCTTCCCTTTTTGTTGTTCTTTAAAAAAAATCTTTTTTTAAGTTTAAATTTGATAAATAAAAAAAAGATAATTGATGCACTTCCTTGATGGCTTCTCTTTGGGCAGCTGCTCGTCTAACAAGCTTGTACCTTAAAAACTCCTCTTCAATTTGTTTCTTTTTCAATTCCGCTCTTTCTTCTGGTGTGATTTCCAAATTGTCTTCTCCCTGAAATGTTTGCAATCGTCTCTTTATTTCGTGTATAATTTTTCATTCAGTTATACTTAACTGTTTAAATTCTTTTTATTAAGCAAAAATTTTATTCGAAATTCCATCTGAAAAGTGTGGCACAGATTTGATCCAACAACTTTAGTGAATATAAACCAAGTTAGTGACGCTTACTTTTTCAAACGCTGATTTAATTCCATTGAGGTCTCCGGCGTGTATATCAATCTCAATCTTCTGCACCTGGATGTTTCCTTCACCTTTTTCAAAGCGTTCTTTGAAATCTTGAAGCTCTGCGGAGAAATTTCATCATTTCAATGAAGTCAATTAAAGTTTTTTTCAAAAACTAGGCAAAAAACTTTTTGCAGTAATTTGTAGGTAATTGGTTTATCCTAGTGATAAATAGAAAATTAGCATAATGCCTGAAAATAGCATGAAAGCTTTGCGTTATTCTTGAAAGTCAAAGGATGAAATTAAATATTTAGAGTGTTGTGTTTTGCAAAACATTGAAATATATACTGAAGCATCTGGCAAATGCATCTGTTGGTTTTCTTATTCTTCAAGTTCCAAATTAAATTTCACTAGCAAATAATTCAAATCTTTAATCGAGTTTGTAGCAATTCAAAGACATTATCAGATTCAAAGAGTTAAGTGCAATCAGCAACTCAGGTCTAAAAGGCGACCTTAGTTTCTCAGTGTGAAGCACAGAAGTGCTTGTTAAGCACATTAAATAGTGGATTTTTTTTTTTGAAGAAAATTGAGAAATTAAGAAATAAAAAAGAATGAACTTTTAAACTCAAGTTCTTCAAGCTCAATAGCAGTTTTCTCAATCGGTCCTGATTGAAATGCTGAACCTTCCAAAAATGATCTGCGAGCATCAGCTACTCCTGAATTTGGACTTCGATTATCACAAATTCGGTAATAATTTAAAAAAATGTGAAGTTGAGAAAAATATAGTCGGTGACAAACTTAGTTTTTTAATCAACTTAATTTATCCGCATGACATGAAGATCATGAATTTGTAATTTCTGCAGACAAAACATGGAGCTTGCTCGACTGTTTTAATCAAGGAGTTTGAAATGAACTAAATAACGCACTAAGAACTGCTATATGAAAAACGAACCTGAAGTATTGAGTTCCCTGCTGTCCCAATGTTTAGCAACTTTCTGTTCGACCCCTGTCATCTCTTGGAAGCGCTTTTTGACTCCAGGATAATTCTGTAGTTCCTTCAGATCGTTCTTCATTTCTTTGAAATCGGCTGTTTGTATATTGCCTGCTTTCCACTTATTCTTTATATGATCTACCTAAACTCCTGCGGCAAAAATTCACAATGAATTATTTCTTGGTAAAAGAAATGAGAAGTTAATGATTCATTTCATACATATTTCTGAAGCTTCAGAATCTGTTTTTAAAGAAACAAAATGCAACCTTTCCAAGTTCAAATTCGATGAATGATATTTAGAATGCCAAACCCGTTCAAAGTTAAGTTCCTCCTTACGATGTTTCTTGTCTTCACGGGCGATATTTGGATCTCTTCCATCTTTTTCTTCGTCCTCCTCTTCCTCTTCGTCATTAGCAGCACCCATTACAAATCTTCAGAAAGACGTTTAGTATGTTTCCTATGTGAACCATATTCTCAAATATGGAACTTAAAAATCTTAACCCAGGAAACTTTCTTTTAATTAAAAGATGTATATGTGGCATAAAACAAATATTCCACTACTCCTCAACTTCCTTCCCTCTTCACATTTTCAACAAAAACCACTAAATTTAGTTTTGGATTTGACAGAACCAATAAAACGCGTTCGCAACTGTTAGATGTAATCAGCTGTAAAATTGCTGCACATTTAATTTTGGTGCACATTAGCCTCTGTCTGCACTTCCACTTTATTTTGATTAACTTTTTTCAACGCTCCAACCAATGCTTAGTTAATACTTGTCACAATTCTAGTTCATTAACATGCATTCTACTTGCAATTTAACAGTGTTAACAATGTAATTGAAATGCATACTTTTCCAAATTAGCTTTCACTTTTCCTGAAATAATCTCCTCAACGATATTTTTCTTCTCGGTAAGCACAGCTTCTGCCTCCTTCGCAGAATTTTCCCAATCTCCTTTTCTGGCCTTTAATGATCCAATAGTGGACAAATCGTCTAATTTTGTACCGCCTAAAACTACGTTGATAACTTGTTAAAAGGTAATTTAAATTGTTGGATACTAAGATATACTGGTTTTGATTTCTGTGAATGAATGAATAAATGGATGAACTCCGTTAATGGTCAGATACAATTCGAGAAACTAAATGGTAATGGTAATAGTGAGCTCTGTGGTAACTTTAACCTGAGAAACAGAAAATCGAAGACTTTGTATTTCTTGGATAATTCAGTGTTATACTTGCCTTCCTATTTGTTAGAATCTGATTCAAAAAGCTTTTCATTGTTAACATTCTGACTGAAAATTGTATATGCAACCAATAGATTCTGACTGATTTCCCTCATAACGTCATGTTTGGATGGTCTCAACACATTTATTGAAAAGTTCGTATAAAACAAAAAGACTCTTACACCATTGTATGACATATACGTGTGAAAGAACCTGAAGCAGGCCTTAAAGAGTAGCACTTACAGAGCAATTCTATTTCCATATCTCCTGAATCATACTAATACAGTGAGGCTATTTACTTGTGATACAAGAAGAATAAGCGCAAATAACGTATTTGTTTCTTCCCGTACACTTCACGTTGACACCGTAAAGGAAGAGACACGGTGTTTCGTTATAAGGTATGAAATTTATATCGAGAACAAATCCTTATTTTGTTAATAATTATGATTAATAAGAACGTATATTTTATACTCCTAGGCATTTCTGAAAAAAATTGCTGCTATCCAGAGATTTGTTTAGCAAATAGAGACTCAGCAAAATTGGGCAAAAGTTGCGACCTTCGTGACCACCTTTTTTAGAAAAATCAAACAACACTTTTGAAACTTATACCTCGTGATAAACGCCTAAGATAATTGAGGCATATAGAAGAAATGAAACGACCTAGGCTCAGAAAAGCTGGAGTGGTGCTAGTAAATCAGGTTTACAGCACTGGATAAATCAATTGACCGGGGAGTTACAAAATTAACACTAGCTTGGTAGAACATAAATAGTTCACAAGGCAAGAGTTTTGAAATTTGTGGGTGCAGCAAAGTTTCAGATGAAAATATTTTTTTTTAGAAAAACTGTTTGGTGCTATGAGTTACCAGGGCAGAATTTAGGAGAATAAAGAATGAACTTTCGAGGTGGACTCATTTCTCATAATAAGTTCGTTTTTAAAATGTTGATAAGGCTGTACAACAAAAAATGCCAGTCATGGAAGATATAATATGGATTCATTATATAACTGGAAAAAAAGGGTGAAGAATGGATTTTTCAGAAAAATAAATCATTATCCATTGAATTTTGGTCTCTTAACGTACAGACCTTTGTGGTTTACATTCATAAAAATATGAAATAAACAGGGGAAATTTACATCTAGCCGTTATTTGTAACCCTTCATCCAGGACTGGAACTTTACTGTCTTTTTTTTTATAAAAAAAGAGTAAAGTTTTAACTTCATGTTTGTAACCAATACCTATAAGATTTATATAGATCATTTTGAAAGATGCACTGAAAAGGGTTATAAAAGATAGTGACTAGAGAAGTAAGTAAATTTCACCTGTAATTGATACGTAAACCCCGGAAAAGTCGTCCATTTCACAGAAAGATGAAATATGGTCAGTGTACCGAAGAAGTTCAATCGGTCACAGTGTCATCACAAGATGAATCCGCCCCACCTCTGCCTCTTCCACACCCTTCTCCTTCACCGTCTTAGTTATTAATTTGTTATGAATATTTGACATGAAGTAGTTTATTAAAAGAATACTAAAAGAGGAAAAATCGCTCCTTTTCTCTTGCCAATATCAATATCTATCTATCTATTTATATTTATCTACCTATGTATGAGAGGAGAAGTTTCTCCCCTAATATCCTGCCAATATATCAACCACTCTAATGCAGATCTTATCACTATATATCCCAATATTCTTGGTGTCATGCGCATAACAAATTTCGGATCTTTTGGATATGTGGGACATGAAACAGTTAGGCTAAATAAATGAACAAATGCAGAAAGATTGACTCCAAATTCTTAATAAGAACGATTTAAAGAAATCCAAAAAAGTGAAGAGGACGAAATTCAAAAATAGGACAGAGAATTTGCATTACTTTCCAAGGAAGAATTGACTCACTACTTCCTTCACTTTATCCAAAGCAGAAAAAAGTTGACGTTATAAATTTTTTTAAGATAAGATTACGATCCTCAAAACTTTTGCACGCAAAAAGCATATTTAAAAACAAGAAAATGAGAGAAATTGAAGTGAAAAAACTGTGCACAAAATTTTTGAAACATAAGTTTATATCTTGCAGTGTAATAGTAAAAACTGGTTATTTAGGGGAACAGAACTGAATCAACTAAAACTTACTTTTAATAACATCATCTCCAAGTTGCTTTGGTTTCGACGATATTGCATATTCCTCATCTTCTTCATCTTCCATCTTTTCATCCTCTACAATATAAAATTGATGAGATACCGCGTTACAAGTTATAGAAAGAGGGACGATAAGTCAAAAAGGTGGGGAAAATATTGTTTCTCTAAAAGCTAACCTTCTCTTGTAGCAGGGTCCATTGTTTTTGCAATTTCAGGATGAAATATTTCAAGGTAATGAAGTTTGCACACCAGCTGTTCTTCGTGCATATTGTAATTCGTTGACCTAAAAAGCGATCATCTGAACAGAAGAGTAGCTTGATCCTTCATATTCGTTTCATTCAAGAAGGAATGACACAGCTCGGGTAATGTCGTCAGTTGTAGTGGTGAAAATGTACTCTTATGATCTGAATGGTGCTCCTATAAACTTAAGATAAACATCCCAACTTGCGAGCTCTCCTTAAAAAACGTTTCTTCGTCACGTCCCTCTTTAATCAAGATCTCAATTGGAGAAGGAGCAAAAATTTGCTTACATCAATTTCTTGCCACATTTGACACATTTGAAGCACTGTATATGATAATTTCGCTTATTAGCAAAGATTCTTTCAACAGGATAGACTGTTTTTAGACACAGTGCACATTCTTTCGGAGCGTCATCTGCTATAAGGTCTGCCTTAAAAAAAATAAATCATTTTTATGTCTTAAAAGAGAGATTTGTTAAAAACATTGTATTAGTGAAGATGCAAACAGCAAACATATGAAATGTTTGCTAATTTTAAGCCTGTAAACATTAAAGGTTACTGGTTACTGAAAAAATCGTTTCAGATTGATGAATAAATAAAAACCTGCGTGAATGTCCTCATCACTCGTCTTTTGTCTGCTTCCGAACGTTCAATAAAAATTTGTTCGCGTTCGCTTTTATTGCCTTCTTGAGGATTTTCGAAGGCATCCTTGATGTTTTCTAAATTTTCCTTTCCAACACCTGTCAGCTCTTTCGCCATGGTTTTCAAACGTTCTTCAAGATCCTCTTTCATTACTTCCGGAAGATTTTCAAATTTATTTCTGAACTTCGAGTACTTTTCCTGGAAAGTCTACAGAATTATTTAACAAAAAAGAAAAAAAATCGTGGAAAACCAAAATCACAGCACCAAAGCGCCCTAACTTTGTAGACTTTTGGCTGCATTGTGTCTCCCTGGTGTGATGGTGGATCTTTAGGCTAAATACGATTGTAGATGGGAACTCTCAGAAAAAGCATGTGGAACGGCCGTTAAAGCAATCAATTCTCGTTATCATCCAGTTGGATTTCCATGATGAAACTAAAGAGATTTTGGAAGATGAAAAGTATTCCGTGAAGAAAAAAGGTTTCTCCCCTTCTGAAGATTGGGGTTGAAGAATAACATACTTTTGTGACGGCGGCAAGTTGTTCACGTTCTTCATCTATTGGCTTCGCTTCATTCCCCAATTCTTTTTTTCTACCTAAAACTTGGGGTTACTGACAAGAATTATGTAATTGCCAGAGTCAGTCAAATAAACTTTTCTAATGTATATCAAAAGCAGTGAGAAAAAATAAAAGCCATTTAATACAAAAGAAATGATTCAGAACTTTAGAAAAAAACTCATAGGATAATATCACGAATTCCCAGTTGTTCTTAATGTTCTGTAACGTATTGCAACCATAAATATTTGTATAATCCTTATTTTTTCTACCTAAATTTTTCTTTTTGAAATGAATTTAAAGCGAATGCATACCCTCAATAAAGTCTCTTTTTATTTTATGTATTTCGGACTTCTCTTTCAATTGATTCAATTCCTCGAGGCGTTTTTCATCCTTTAGTGCCTCTTTTGTTTCCCTCAAAGCGGCTTTCTGAAAGCCTGCTGATTAAGCAAAGATGTATCATAATTTCCATTAATTTTTATAGCTTAATCATTTGCCTCGACGTAGAGTTGTTTATGTTGTACATGATTAAATTTGAATTGAATTTCCAAAACTTTTTCCATCAACCTCACCAACAAAATATACTTGCAAGGACTGTACAAACCGTAATTAAACTGAGGACAGGACAAACTTGGCAATGGTTTATGGTGTATTAAATACTCGTCCACCAAACATGATAATCGAAATGTGTCTACTTCCAAATCACTAAACTGCTAAGTATTCGGTCATTCAGCATAATACTAATGGTTAGGTAAAATGCACAATTTACCTAGCTTATTTAAAAGAGATTAACACTGATAGCCATCAAACGATTTTAGACCGCTCTTTAATCAGTCGATGGTAACTTTTTTTTATTCTCGAATAAATCAAGCAACTAACTGAAGCACCAAAGAAATAGCTGCGTTAAAAACGCCGCACAGACATAGTAGATAATAGATTGGCCAAATATTTAGACTGATCTAACTTTCAATTTAGCAAACAGTGACACGAGTATTAGATTTTACGGTATTTCATGATTAATTTCTCGTATTTTCATGTTAAACTTATACACCAACTCAATTTTTTTTCAACAATAAATAAAAAATATCTCTAACTGTGACAATAAACTGAATTTGATATGATGAATGATACTAGAGCTGTCCGCAGACTGTGTTCTTTCAGTGCAGTACGTCTTTAGGAGATAAAGGAAAGGTAGACGAGATATATTATACTGCAAGTAGCCAAATATTAATTTGATTCATTCCATGAACAATGGCGTTAGAAATCAAAGGAGAGAAAAATAAAAAATGGGAATAATATCAGACGAAGTTTTTTCGGTTACTGAATTCAAATACCTAAAAATAAGTCACTAAATTGATGCCAATTTAACAAAGTATGCAAACTGCAGTTTCATGCCGTATGTGATTCAAATGAATTCAAGAAATGATATTCACATAAATATTGACACATTCGTCAAATTAAAAAAGCATACAAGTGAAGAAATATCAGCAACAGAGCGTCCCTCAATGCTGATTTTTGGCGGTGGACCTTTCAATGATTCGGTATCAGTATCCGAGCTTATTGCATACGGATCATCCTCCATTTCTGTCATCTCCTAAATTTTTTTTAAAAACATTCGAAAGTTATATGCAATCATTACAATGCGTGTAGTTCTTGTTAAAGGATTTAATATTTCAAGCTAATCTGGATTTAATGAATATACTGATGGCGCATAAACTTAATTTAGAAACGAAAATTGAAATTCGGCTGACACATATACAACAAGGAATTTGCTTCATAAATGCATTGTTTACAAAAATCAAGCAAACTGCTTGTGAGGTTTTAAACGAAAGTATTTTGTGACAAATCAACCGTTTTTCCTTTAGCACAAAATAAAATATGTAAAGAATATTTTTTATAGTAATCATTTTCGATTGCAAAATATTGCAGATATCCTAGACAGCAGCTCGATGATCATTTATAGCTATCAAGCTAATGAAATTAGGAAGTGTGGAAAGAATTATATTGAAAACCGAACATTTGGAAAAATCAGCTGCTTTTGAAATTGGAAGTAAGAGGAATGTATGAGATGATGTAGTAAAGAAAATGGGATGAAGCAGATTATAATAAAGTGTAAAAATAGCAAAATGAAAAGAAAGGCCACTACGCTACGGATAGGAAGTATGATGACGCAGGTAAGAAGTACCGTGCGCAATTGAGAAATAGCTAGAAAGAGAAACAGATCGTAGTATTACATCCGATATAAGAGGAATCTATCCATCCAGTAACATCTTTACGCACGCTTTTAGGAAAGGCAGAGGATGAACTTTGCGCTGTTCTCGAGTCTCGCCAGTGTGAGCTCGAGCTTCAATTGTGCTGAGGAACCACTCATAGCTTCCCCATCCCTCCAACTCACACACATCTTGTCTCTCACTTCACCAACATAATCATCTCTATTTAGAATACCACAACATTCTCGAAATTAAATATCCAAAATGCATTGATTGAAGAAGCAAGACATACAGATAGGAGTATATACCAATACGTTTTCATATTTTTTTCCTAATCTAAGTTCAACCGTCATTTACTGATTAATGCATTGAACAGAGTAAGCAAGATGAAAACAATTCTGGGAATTATCCAATGAAATTTTTCGTTATCCACAATAACGAATAAAATTGAATACTTATTTTCTCTCTGATGCAACCATCTTCTAGAGATATCTATCATGTCGAGTGAAGTGGAATTATATCGACTCTCTTGTCAAGGTAGATTACTCCTTGAACCATTCAATCATACTTTTATTTCGATAAAACTGATAAAAGCAGTTTAAGACAAGGAAATCCACACCATCCAAGCGGTTGCGCAACACTAACCATCAGTAGAGCACTGATTTCTGCTTGGAAATGATAACAACTGAGGTTGAATACATTGGATTTGGAACAAGAATTTCAGTCATAAAGCTATTTTCTCTCTTAGTTTTTTCATTGTTGGAAATCCCACCAAAACTGTACAGCCGGGAAAATGAAACCGGTAATCACCAGTTTTTAGTTATACTGTACTAAAATGAAGATTAAGCTATTATTACCATTTGTAAAATTCATAAATTTATATTTCCAGATTCAGATAATCTAATAATAGAAATTGCAAGCAAACAATCATCAACCGAAGAAAGTTTCGAAGTCCTACAAGCAAGAAAAAAAACCGCACTGAACGATTTGTTATTTGAGAGTAGCATTTCCCAATAAATTCCATCTGACAGATTTATCCTTGACTTGTCGAAAAAAGAAAAAAAAAAAACTAGAGCGTTTTTGATCAATTCAGCTTCTCTAACGCACTGGAAGAACAATTCAGACACATCAGTATTAACTAAGCAAATAATCTAAAAACCTTCAAGTGAACAGTCGTCACTACGAACTAGAAATAATCTAAGGACTATTACCTGAGAACTGATGGCATTATGTGGTAAATTCCTTTCTTTTTAAAAGCATCCGTATGACTTCAACTTCAACGTTTCTTAAAGATTTAGCAGCTAAATTGTCCAAACTCCGATTTTTTTTTCATTAAAAAAATACAGATTTGTGAGAATTATAACAATTAAAGAAGATAGAGAAAAAATTTTGCGAGAAAAGCGGTTAAAATACCACCGCAGCTTCAAAATCCGAGACAAGGGAGCTACTAGTGTCATAGATGTGAACCAATTCAATTTTCTAGTACAACAGGGTGGAAACACACCCGAACAAAGTGTGTTTTAAAAGCTACTTAGCGCAACTGTCCTTCCCTTAACTGACCGAAACTCGACAGCTGATAGTGCCGGCATCCAACAAACCGCTTTAGTCCTAAACCTTTTCGGTATTTTATTCACTCCTCAACCGAACTTTTGTTCCATAATTTTATGTCACCTCATCGCGTTATTGAACTAGCAAATGTGAAGATATCCAATAGGTCCCATGAAATAACTAAAAGTTTCGTCAATCTGATAATCCATACATTTTTAAATCACTTTCAGTTAATCATCAGTTAATTACTTCAAAAACCACAGTAACACACGTGCAAGGTTATCCCAGTCCTAACTTGAATAAGAATTCTTTGGAAATCACTTCTTGATATACGATTAAACGTCATTAAGTGAAGCTACAACAAATCTATTTTCTCTATAAAATGAATATTTTGTTGTTACTCCGTCTCTTTTTGGATAATTTGGGTTCTCATTAAGTGCACAGAAATTCCGAGCTTTTAGTGTTAAGTAGACAGCAAACTTTTCAATTAAATTCAATGCTTAGTAAAGTCAATTAAAATAGATGATTTTCATAAAGAAAACAAATATACACAAGCAGACTAAAAAACATAGAAAAGGAATACAAAGGCAACGAAAAATCAAAAGGTCAATCCATACCGAAATAATACACACAGACGCAGACACACACACACACACACACACAAAATTTCAAAAGAAAAAAGTCAGGAAACACTATTCTAAACGTGAATACAAGTCTCAGAATTCTGTGATTAATAAACCTTGAAGAATGAAGATCGTGTACAAAGTAAAAAACATTTACTGTAGATATTATTTCAAGATGAACTGTGTGCGAGATCCATAAAATTTATTCTAAATTTAGAAATGTCTGACAAAATGTATACAAAGTACTTTGGAAAATCTTGAGAAAAAAGAACTTGTAAAATTTTGAAACAAATAGATCATAACAATCTAGCCATTAATTCATTATTCACAAGAAATTAAAAATGTGCTGTAAAAATACATTTTCGTAGTGTTCTTGTTAGTCGTCTCAAAGAACATTTTAAATATTATCATTAAAATCATATATAGATAGATAGATAACTTCTAAATTTACAATTTGAAGAACATCAGCGTAAAACTAATGACGATTCAGGTCGCATCTTTTTCATCCACATAACCCAAAAATAATCGGTGAGTCATCGCAAATCAACAACAACTGCTGCTAGCGAATTTTCGAAACGTACGTCATGACAATAAAAAAACAGAGCTGCAGAATCTTCATGTGGATGAAAACCTACTTTGCGGCACCCGCCAACTTCTTTCATACCACGTTCTGACAAACGAAATATACCCACCCTAAAATAAATAAGAGTTATTGTTGTCTAACAAATTTCTTATTTAGTCTTTCAGTTAACCGGTCAACAAATGAGACAGGAAGATTTTCATTTCAAATAACACGATTTCTCAACTTCAGAATGACATAAACCTCACTCATTGAATTTTGGCGCAACGACGATCGCAACAGCCTCTGACAACATTAGCTGATAGGAACAATGCGTATGAAGATCAACACTAGAAAGAAACGCTGTCTGTGATGGATGAGTCTGCAATACAATAATATAGGATAAATTGGACTGGTAATATCCGAAATAAGTAAAACCTTCGCATTATCTATTTTGCTTTCGAAGATCCATCACATTATTTTAAGAGATTGGTATTTTTAAACCATTTAAACCCGATAAGGAATTCCCTAACATAATACATACGGCGGAAATTTTTCGATTCGGTCAAGGTAATTAAAAGCTTAAAGTGATTTAATAAAAATTTATCAGTGCATAAACTGAAGTGTTAAACTGAAAAAGAAAGTAAGAAATAATTTACATTTGTGTTCAACCAATAAGACTGATTACTAAAAATATGTTAACTTTAAAAAAAATACATGTATCCATCCCAAAGTAATCAGATTGTTGACATCCTGATATGCAAATACTTCCTCTTCGTTGTGCGTGTCACAGCTGTCAGCAGCGCCAGTTTGTTTTGGTATCACGGCATGTGTTATACGACACACTCCGCCGCTGATCTTAAATGTTTATCAAGATAATATTCCATAACAATGAAACCAAAAAGAGATGCCAAGAAGAGAGCAAGAAATTAAAGTAACTTTATAGAACGCATTTCTTCGAGCAACTAAATTTTTCTACACCTTTGTGTACATTCCATTTTTATCCAAATGTGCCATATGCGGTACGCCTTCAGTAATATTAAATGCAATTCAGGCACACTAGAAAGTTGTTTTCTTACTTTAGCAAGTCTGAACCATGGAAGAGGAAACTCAACATTCAAATAGATCATGTCATCAAGTTAAGCAGTAATAAATTCATTAAAATGTCATAAGCAAATCCAGATTTAAAAGAGCATCACTATAGTAAATGTATGAAATGGCTTTTCTAAAGTAGACTAAGAAAAGGAAATTCAAATAAGGGATTGATTCAAACTAACCAATGAGCCACATAAAATCCCACATGTTTCCACATTACGGTTCGTGTTAATTTGTGCCAAGCGCACAAAATTTTCCACGAGGTCACCCGCAACGACAACTTCCTTACGAGCGAGATCCCTGATTATGTTATGATGTAACAATTATATTAAATTTTGAATTGCATAGAAACATCAGTCAACATCGAATAAATCTTAAAATCAAAAAGAAAGGTCACTGAAACGATTTTGATCCACGAATCTGTAATTTGCGGTACTTTAATTCAAGAACTTCCTATTACTTTCAATAGTCATATAAATTACTATGAAATGAAACTTCCCAGTTTGCAACTCTGAGAGTGAATTAAGAATCAACAATGTCAAGAGAATAATGTTGATATTTGGAAGCTGTAATATTTCTGTGAGATAACGAATGGATGAGAACAGCAAACGCAAGGCATGTATCTAATCTTTTGATTAAATCAGGTCCTAACTTAATTGCTGAAGACTAAATTATGTCAAGCATAAACGAATAAAATATCAATGTCCTTACAATCCTTAAAAATATATCGTAGATGTTCATGGGATGTATTGACAGAAATTTCCGCATAATCAAGTAAACCCAATAACTGAAAAAATTAAATTTCAGTGGGAGACTTCATAAATTGTAAGAATGCTTAACCTGCTATCGAACACAACTGCTGTAGAAGCTAACTTCTTGTGATCAGCTATTTCGAGAAACCGACTGCGTGTTACAACTTTATGAACCAAAGATACATCTTTTTTCCCAATCAAAGCTGCATTCTGCAAGCGACATATAACTAATGAGGAAATACAATTTCCGACATGGAAGAAAGTGGCTTACACTCCACAAATCTAATCACATAAATGAAAGAATGATTCCAACTGGAAATCTAAACAACTGTTGAAGAAATCAAAATATACATCGGTAATAGTCCTTTCCGCACTCTGTTTTGCTAGAACTGCTTCTTCCTCATACGTCTTTTTTAGGCGTTCCTTCAACGATTCCGCCTTTACAAAAGCATCCCGAAGCACTGCCTCTGCTTTGGTTTTTTCAGCCGACGAAAAGCCATTGTACTGTTTGTGTTTCGGTAAACCTTCGACCGCTAAGCTGCAGTAGCGTAAAATAACATGGATCATTATATTTATTTTTGAGTAACAGACAAGAATGAATGACGTTTTGCGTGAATAATGAGGGACTGGGTAGACCTAACAAGACATGAAGATAAGAGAAAATGAAAAAAATACCGATCTTTGCTAGTTTCATCATGCTGGCTAAACAACTGCCCAGAAGCAACTCTTCCGAGAAGAAACTGAGAACAAACCTCACAAACCGCATATAGTAAATAAATGCTCGTTCGTAATCCTTATCCTCTATACAAAAGCCAGCAACACGATACATTTCATTCAGACTTCGATAATAACTGAAAAAAAAATTACATGAACATAACATGCAAACTCAAGGTGGCAAATAAAACAGTAATTATGAAGCTATCATGCTCTTTCTAGCGGAAAACAAAGGAAGATAGGCAACTGAAGCATGTATTTATATTTCCTTTTCTCAAAATGTATTTAAATTTAAAATACTCCTTTACACAAAACGAAGTTGCCAAATATATTCATAAAGGAATATGATGAATCCCGCAACCGAAAACTGATACTTATCAAAGAATCATGACACAATTTCACGAGAAGGTTTAAAAAGTGGAACTAATACTTTGACATGATTAGGAGAAGAGATGACAGATCAAAATTTTGAAGTAGTAACAGCTGAATTTTCTGCCAAAAAATAGGCTAGGCGTTACTTAATTTCTTATTTAAATGATAAGAAGAGTTCACTCTGAGCTATAACAGCGAAACTTATGCGCAGTAATAATTCCCAGCGTTATAACATCGCCAGAAATCCCACTCGAATTCGAGAACGAAAATTGGCAGTGTCTAGGGCCACATACTACGATATAATTGAATATAAAATAAGATCTAACGTTTTTTCAAACATGACTAGTAGCTTATAACTGTTGGAAAGAACGAAACTCAAAAACCAACCGATTAATAGGGACTGCTGGGCTGACTTCCTGAGTCGCCGCCATATTCAAAGTAATCCGCATCCGAAGATTCGGATCACATATCACATCCACAGTTCGTTCCATTTCTAAATAACTGCATCAAAGGCCCATAACGCAAACTTCATCACCACATAGGCCCCTAACATCCTCCCCGCTCCTTGATAACAACATCGCGTACCACAATAAGTCTTTTCCAGTCTTTCCCATTTCATGACTTGTAGCATATCTGCAGGATGCGACATTCGCGTAACGACAGGGGTCTGCGAGGTGTTGCGTTGTTGAGACTTTGCTATTATGAGTTGTCGGAAAGTGTAGAAGTGAGCTGCTCGTGGCGAAAATTTCTTGTGGAGTCTTACCTTTCGTCCTAAATTATGAGGATTGGCTTTTTCTCATCTATAATCACATTACTTTACACCACACTATTTTCTAGCAATTTTTACTGTGCTTTTAGATGTACGTGACGAATTAAAATATAATAAAGATGAGGAGGATATTATTGATTCTTCTTTTATTTTTTTGCTGTCGCAGGCGACCTTTTTTGTGCTGAAATGTTTTCTAACGGGCGTATCTTATATGATCATGACCCGTCTAAATATTATTGTTTTGCAACAGTTTGTTATGATTTTTGGATCAATTTTTATTTGGTGGAATTTATCTCCAGCTGTCGATGGGTTTGTTCTTTTATATCGTTCTTCCATATTTCCAGGAATTTAAAGTCCGATTACTTCTGATAAGTCTTGTATCGTATATTTCAATTTTAATCTTTGTTTTCCAACACAAAATTTGCAGTGTTTTGGGTGATTTGCCGTTACAACCCGTCTGTAAATATTGGCGAACAGTCTGTATTCAAAATGTTCTAAAGGTGGGATTTTCCGAATATGTCCTTCCGTTATGCTGGTAAATGTTGAAAATACTGAAGATTATTCAAGAGTGTTGAAGGGCAGATAGTCTAATCACTGGATAGATTAATTGAAGTGGTTTGGCATGAAAGGTTGCCCAGATAGGACTGTGTATGGTGTCTATTCGCACTTTCATTTGAGACTTGTAGGAGTGTGTGACAAAACTATTCATTGATCTTGGGGACTTCCTCAGTTTACGAGGCTTGCTGTACTTTGAATGATTGTTAACTTTCGTACACGATAACTTCAGGCTTCTATAGTTCTTCTGTTATTTCTTGCACATATGTGTTCGGTGTTTTACTATCTTTGGATTGATAAAGAACCAAATGTACTTGCAATGATTGCTTTAACGTCGGTTGCAGTCTATATTCATCTTGTATTCTTCTTACTCATTTTTTTATTGATACAATCGGTATCCCGTCTTATACTCCGTATGAATTCAAAATACTTCAAAATTTTGAGGTTTTTATTCTATTTGTCGGATCATTATTGTTAACGTCATGTTATATGGAATAAGGATTCATTCTTATGGGTTTAATCTCTCCGCAGTGAGTGTTGGGTAATCTTCCTTATTCATGATTATTATAAGTTTCCTACAAGTAGAAATTTGCAACTTACAAAAAAACAAATTACACAAAATCTACGAGTTCGAGCGACTATTAAAAACAAGTAAGCCTATCTTTTTTATATATAAATAGATTAGCCGTAGACCGTCTTTTTCATCACGTATGAGTTATGCTACAAATTCCTTTGAAAACCAAATTTCATTCCTATAGTATTATAAAAAACTTATCTATCTTACTGCAAGTAAACCACGGTTGTGTAAGTTTCAGATTACTGGTTTCAAATGAGCTTTCAAATCGTCTTTTCGCTGTTGTATTGGCAGTTGTTTTCGTTTTAGCAGGCCTTTGGGTTGCTTTTTTACCACCCGTTGTGCGTCATGTTACAGTCGAAATCGAAAACTTGCCAAAGGCGCAAAAAGGCTTTACAGTAGCTCTTTTATCTGATCTCCATATTGGACCAACTGTTGGGTGCTCGAAAATTCAGAAGATGGTGGATGTTATAAACCCTTTCAAACCAGGTATATTGGTCTTTTTTCATTCATCGGATTCCGACCATGTGGAATTTTCCGCACAGTATCGTCTCAATGAATGTTTTTTGTCTATGAATGTCCATGAATGTTTTTTCAGATGTGATAGCTATATCTGGCGACCTTGCAGATGGTCTTGTCCACAATCTGAAAAAAGCTGCTTACCCTTTAATGAATTTAACTTCAAAATATGGCATATATTTTGCTACAGGTGAAGGATATATACGTTTGAAATATAAAGAGTTTTTCTACTGCGTGTGTTAATTTTTTTCAGTTTTTTCAGCATCAGGAAGGGCTACTTTATGATGTTGTTATATCATTATTTGAAGGCAGGGAAGTGAGTGCCAGTTATAGGCAATCATGAATACCTTCATGGAAATGTTGATGAATGGTTCGTATTTTTAAAGAAAATCGAAATCATACCTCTCCATAACAAAAATAAGAAGATTTTGGTTGGAAATTCCAGAATTTGCATTGCTGGAGCCGATGATTTATTTGCGGAACATTCAAGGTTACTGCAGTTACCAATCATGTTTTAAAATTTTAGGTTCATTTCTCGTTGGCTGTTATGTTCACTTTATTGTTTATGTTCGGTATTTTTTTTCACTAGACAATATTGATGATGGTTTACATCTAGTAATTTAATTGCAACTCATAGAACAAATAATGGCTTTGTATGTATAATGTATAATATAACTATGTGGAGGTAGGGAAGCAACGTTTCGAAAGTGGAGGTAGGGAAGCAAGTGGAGGTAGGAAAAAGTGGAGCTAAGTGGAGGTAGGGAAGCAACGTTTCGAGGGTGTATCAAAAGATTGCTCAGATTTTGCAGACTTGCTGGGCATGTAATGGATTACAAAAAAGCGTTACGAGGATGCAAAAAAAATGACACAACGATTATGCTCATTCATCAACCTAATGCTGTTCGCATAATACTGAATGACGTTGAAACCGCAAAAAATATTGATCTTATTCTGTCAGGTTAGTAATGAATAGCGTTAATTTCCTTAATTTTCATTGATTTAATTTCAACGGTTTAATTTTAATTAATTTAATTTTAATTTTAACGACTTAATTTCAACTAATAACTAAGATTTAAATTTAACGTTAATTTTAATAAGTGCGGAGAATGATTGTGCTAACCAGTTTTGAAATGTTTTTGTATTTTGCCAAACTTTTTAGGTCACACACATGCCGGACAGATGTATGTTTTCGTACCGGTGGTGTATTTTTGGAATGCGTATTTCCGTGGTCTTTATTATGATAAGGCTACACGAACATATGTCTATGTTTCATCAGGTGTCAATTATTTTGGTCCACCAGTTAAGGTTTTTGACGGAAGTGAAATAATTCTCATCAAGTTAGTATAGCTTTAGACTCGTTGTATTTATTGATTTCTTTCTATAAGTTTAATAGCTAAGACGCTGAATTATTTCAAACATTGGTGTAATCAGATTTTGTATGATTCTGTTGTTTTTAATACTTCTTAGTCATTAGCTTTTTCAGCATAGTTTTTTGAATGAAAAGACTTCATGATTGGCGCAGTACAGGTATTAATAAGATTAATGGTCATCTCTTCTCTGGCTGCATTAGTTTAATATATGACAAGATTACTCTGTTTAATTGGAAAAAAAAAGCAAACAAAACAAAACAAAATACAAAACTTTATAGTAACGAGCTGTAAGGCTTGTTTCTATAAAATTTTGCATTTTCTTCGATATGCCATTCTTTACATATGTTTTCGTAAATGTGTGTATTTGAAATCTATCAAGATTTAAATGGAAATTAGTTGTTAATGATCGTTTGCTCTTTGTTAGAGTTTGATGGATTTATTATTAGACTTTGTTAATAAACTTTAATCATGATCGTAGCTAAAGCTGCTTATCTTATTGAGTTACTGTACCGTTTTTTCTTCGCATTAGTTCTTCAAATGTGGCGAAAGGAACCCATAAACAAGATTTCGGAATGATAAACGAGTTTAGTGTTGCGCATTCCAAGTTGTCTTTCTTGCTAATAAACTTTCCCGTAACCATTATGTTATATCTGAACAACAGATCACAATCAACTATTCGATTAGGCTTCTTTTTGGTATGTATTCAGTCCGTTTGAAGGTAAATTGCTTCGAAAGAAATACTGTAAAGGAGGATTGGTGGGTAGGCAGTGTTGTGTTGAGGGATTCTTTCCACGTTTGACTTCTGCACGGGGAATGGGAATTATGAGCACTTCTCGACTTCAGAAAGTTGGAAGTTTGTTTTATTTTGTTTTTCATCACGTCCAAATATTCTCGCTGACATATTACACATTCGGGTAGGAATTGCAAAGATCAATGCTACTAGATAATAGTACGAACTATTTTGCAACAGGAGTGGACTAGAACAAACACTTTACTCATTATCTTAATTTGTATGTTTGGAAGTTTCTGAGTTTGCTGATTATGAGGCAGGCGAGATTGGTAGGAAGTGAGTTTGGCTGCATTATATAACGCATTTTAGGCCGTTCATGTTATATAACGTAACAAGATTTTAAAAAGTTGCGGACGATTCTAAGTTGTTAATGGTACGATGTTTTGAGAAAGGAGAAATAGAGACAAAAAAGGGGCATTTTAAGATCAACGACAGGCTAGTTTAGGATTTCACTCCTTAGCCATACTGTTGAATGGCGCCGAAAATTGATATTTTTTATGATTTTCAATTTATGAAATTTATGGTCATTGCAGTTCATCACCCTTCCATTTAATTCTTTGCTTTCATGTGTGGGAGACTACTCTGTCATTCTTCTTGACTCGCCTGCTTTTATTTAGAACCTTGAGGTAAGCGAAAGACTTTTAGTCTTGCAACTTGGATCTTGAAGGAGTTGAACAAATAATAATTGTTCATGAAGTATTGAAAAGCTTTTAATTTGCATATCCATATTATTTTCTCTTCAAATTGAATTTTCTTAGAATTTATTCTGTGGTAATTGCTTAAATTGATAATGCTAGCCGTGAATATCAGCTGGTGTTTAAATTTCTAAAAGAGACTAATGTTCAAGTGTTTTGGTGCGAAAAAGAAGTACAATTTGAGCAATTTTCAAATCATATGCTTTGAAATAATTGTAGAGAGGATTTGAATAATTAGTACGTCATCTATGTCTAACACTCAAGTATGAACTAGAGATCGAGTAGCTCAATTTATTAAATGTTTCTACAATTTCTTTTGAATCAACTTTCACTGTTTTTAGTGTTTTAGAGTTTTTACTGACTGAAAAAGAAATTCCATCCTAGAAGTTATATTATTTTGATATGATGTAAAGAGTAAAACCGCCTGACATTTCCACAAGCTGGGATTCTTTATGAAGACGTTCGAATCAAAAGAGGATTGGTCCCACAAATACAAGCCAGGTTAGTGAATGAAGTTATTAAAAACAATTCAAACTGTTGGGAAACCTGCGATCATCATTACTACAAATTATGTAATTACTGAGAGGATATTGACTTAATTTAAAAATACCATTTGAACAAGTATCAGTTCTGAAAGTAGGTGGTAAAATGTTATCTCGAACTACTGCTGTTACTTTGTATCGCCTAGTTTGGTTAGCTTTGCATTGTTTAAGAAATCAAACATATGTTTAGTGTTTGAAGTTTTCTGTGTTTTTAATCTTGATGTGAATCAAAGTAATCACATTGAATTTAGAAATCGCAAAGGTTCAGATTCTTTTACAAAAGGCTAACCAAAAGAATTCTTTCCAAGAAATTTTGGTAACTTCGAACCTTCAGTTTTTGCAACTAAGCTAAAATAGAAAACTTAAACATCTAGCTGGAGAAAATGAACGGGAATTTACCCAGGTAGAAGAACTGTTTGGTTACCAACAGATCTTACAACATATGCATTGCGCCTCGGTTTAAATATGAAGAGGCTGCTAAAAATGTTGCCTTCAATTTCAGCACAACCATTTGTTTTAGAATTGATTACAGATGAGATACTGTTAATAAACACGTCATTAATACTTTTTGCAATTAAAGCAAGCAATGCAACAGTGCCTCTAGATCCTTGTAAAATCTTCCGCACATTTCTTTATTTTTTTAGTTATTTATTTAGAAGGGACTAATGGCTGAATTTAGAACGCAGCATCTAATTCCAACATCCAGACGGTTGGAAGATATTCTGGCCAAGAACGACACTGGTTTTGTTGGCAAAAAAATAGGCGAGACGATTTCCTGTTGCATTTTTTCAGCTCATATAAAAGTTTTACATTTGTTGGATTTCTTAAATAAGGAATCACTCCTGAAATACGCATTGAAAGAATTGAATAGATCTTCATAAAAAAGTGCTTTCGCAAAAGTAGGTTGGATTTCATGCCTAAAATGTCTAAAGTGGACTTTCCGTTTAAAAATTTCAACATAAACAATTATTTTTAACGTTCCTAAAAGGCTACTGACCCAATTTTTACAACTGACACCAGTGGAAAATGTTATGCGTGATTAGGTTCGCTATTTCCAAACTTAGTTGATCAACTAACACATTTGAATTATTTCAAGGATCGAATGATGGAACTACCAAAAATCAAAAAGTGGATTGAAACTAGACATAAGACTGATTTCTAGGAGGGTTTATTAATTCATCTTGTTTAATCATAAACGTAACAATCTTTACCAAAACTAACTGGAAAAAAATAAAGGCAACCGTTGTCTCACGGTGAATCTTCAACTATTATTATCAAAAGAGCAGAAGTCAGTAACATTTGTTTGCAACTACCACGTGTTGTTTGTCTGAAACGGCGCTATTAACAACACTGGACTGTTTTTACTCCCATTAATTGCATCTCGGTCTTCTCCATCTATACATCCATAACATATGCTGCTTCGCTAACTCTTATATAATAAAAATACCTGAACGGTGGTTCATCACGTCCACTCAATATTGTTTTTGATGAATCATATATCAATCTTTCGAAAACGTATAAAAATCGTTTACTCATCCCTCAGGCCCTTTGCAAAAGAAAAAAAATGTTTACACCTTCGAAATTGTATCTTAAAATGTTTATACATAAGAAAAAGTAGATATACTATACCCTATTTATTAACTAATCCTTCCGTATTATATTCGAACATGCTTATCTTTTCATTAAACGTGCACACTTTTCAAGAAAAATTATAAATTTTCTTAAAAATCAATTTTTAGTTGAGGACTTATTCTTCAAAAGATTTTGAATCTAGAACTGAACAATTTAGCATGATGCCGAAATTATATCTCTCGACCATCTCCATATAGGCTTACTAGTTACGAGCAGATTCAGTACAATAATGAAAATCGAAATTATTCGGCATAAATGGATAAGCAGTTATGTCTTAACTAAAGATGAGATACAAAAAATATTGCAAGCTAGAGTGCATAAACGGGTTGAAAGTGCTAAGTCTCACTTCATATTCTCTTATGCTACTTGTGAGGTACTTCAACAAAGAGAAGCTATCACCACAAAGTGAAATCTGTGAAAAACGAGTAATATTACTCGACAAACTCATATGCAGCAATTACATGGATCTATATCACCGTTTTGCTATTTTTTTTGTTTTTTCTTTTTTTTTTAAGAATAGCATTAGCCAGACCTATAAACAAGACCAACTGCAAGTAGTTATTGTGCACAACAAGCTCAACGATCTTTACTTGACTTTTCGAGAAATATTAGCAATAATATAGGATTGCAAGAAAGAAACAATAAGATATGCATAAATGAACTGAGACGCATTCTAAGTAGAAACAGAAATAAATTAATGGGAAGTCTTTGGAATACCAAGGATAAATTCTGCGATTCCTATATAATACACCATTTGTGCAATACCGAAAAGCGGAGCCATTACCAACATCCGACATACCGCACCTTTAAATAACGCTCGCGGGCCTTCATGTCGTAATATTTTCCTAGAAAATCATTTTGCTTAAAAAAAATGTACATATTTTTTTTTAATAAAAATATCAAAAAAATGAATACATCACTGGGAGCAGAAACATACATGAAAGCATCATGGATGTTCCGATATTCTGTTTCACCCTCACCACGACTAATCAGTTGCATGCGCGTTTTGATTACTGAAATCTCAAACGGCATTATTAGTCAGTTTGTATAAAAATGTAAATAGAGTGTAATTGACTACATCAGGAGATAGTACACAAACGGACGTCATTACAGTCAGCGGTAAATCTATAATACCTTGCACAGCTTGAAGAACGACACAACTCTCCACTTTCCAGGAAAAAACCAAAAAAAAAAATCAAAAAAACCACGACCAAAATCCAAAAAAAAACCCAGAAGGAACTGAATAAATTAGTCACAACTTGGTATTCAAAATTTATACTTTTGCAAAAGAACTGTAGTAGTTTTACACGGATCTATCAAACCCACCATCTAATGGCGTTATGGCAAACGAACTGAAAGCAGCTGCTACCAAACCAGCAAAAAATGAAGCATAAAATACAGTGCCTCCGCTTCCATCACTAGAACGAGGCCCCTAGAAATGATATTCACAGAAATAGAAAAGTACAAATTATATAAAATAAAATAAAACTACTAAAATGTTGATAAGAAACAGAGACAACAAAAATTACTGAGAATGAAAGACAATACTAACCAAACTGTTCAGATGTGCAAATGATGGAAAATATAAGACGGAAAATGAGACATCACGAGCCATTGTTGGAGCAATGCCCTTATAAAGGCCAAAAATACCTCGTTCTTTTAACAAATCCATTGTCAAACCGATCGCAGATAATTTTTTTGGTTCCGTTTGACCTTAATCAATCTTTTTTCATCTACTCTTAAAAAGTCGAAATAATTAAATCGAACTACTTTCAAAGTGAAGGATTGACAAATGAAAACTTTTTGAAGTAACCAAACAAAATAGACCTGCTGTTCTTCCTGCATCCTGCATTTGAATTTTAAGAAGTTCCATTGGTGTTGTAACGATAATCTGACAAAATCCTGCTCCACCACCAGCTATCATCCCTCTCATTACAGGTAACTGTTCTTGATATGGTACAGCAAGGTGGAATCGGAAAAAATCATTTGCGACTAACTTTATAGCTTTTTCGGGTGTTATAAGTAACAAATTTACTCCGATACCAGAATAAATCCCTCGTATTTTTGCAAAAATAGTTCTTCCTCCATGACGCCACGTTTGTTCTGCACAATCGACTCTTGAAAAAAATTCCGTTTCAAAACAAGATTATCAAAAGTCACTGAATTTCAAACTCATAAGAAGACAGATAGAATTACTTTTAGTGAACCGTTAATTTAAATATTAATGAAACGCGGCTTACAATACTTATTCAATAATGGAAAAATAAGGCATGACAAGAGACGAAAAATTAACTCACATTCCTTTATACTGAATTTTCCCGTCGTTAGTAATTCTTTGATTTTGTAAACGAGTTTTCACTAGATCAATTGGAAAAACGCATGTTATACCTACCATACCAGCAATTCCGCCATTTATGATTTTTGGTAAGTACCTGAGGAATTAACCATATTATTTTTTTTAAACTAAAATTTACAATAGAATGTGCACAACAGTAAAAATCGGATGGATAGTAAATTTATTTCGCAAACATTACGCCGAGACTGATTAATCCCAAGTTGATCTGAACGAAGCACACAAGAAAAAAAAAAACCTTACGGCGAAAAAACTTACGCGAAACTTTCCGAAGAGTTTGATATTTCTACTTTACCCATATTTTAAGACAAGGAGAAAAATGAAGCAACTGAAATGATAAAAATATGGTTACGAGAAATACCATGTTTTCTGCAAGAAATAGTGATACAAATCTTTTTGTTTCCACTTGTCTCATCTTACACTTTTGCTTACACATAAAACTTCTTATGTTCTTGGTTTGTAAAATCAGATTCGAGTTCATCTCTATAAAAATATTAAAAAGATTAAAGTTGACGAAATACGTGGTGAAGGTCAAACCGGCTTTTCTTATAATATCCTTTTTGCACACGCTAAATAGTTTTTGTATGCCTAGCAGGAAGGAAGAAGAAAGTAAAATCTTGACTATTACACAGATCGAATTCGGGTAAAAATTGAGAGATGCTGGAAACACAGCTGAGAAAAGTGAACAAGTACTCGAAAACTTGAACAAAAGCAAAAGATCGATAATACCTCACAGGGCATGGTAAGGAAAGTACTTGCGTGACGAAAACAAAAAGTAATATGCACTCTTCTTTCCGTTCCTCTACAGAGTGTAAGAAATGACACATCAGAATTAATATTAATTGGATTGATTTCATATATTTAATGAGGTGTACTTTTGATTTTATGAAGTGTACCAGATGTTAAAAGTGTTGCTTTGATCATGTTCATGGAAAAGAAAAAAGAAACCTAATATGGATAGCTGCAACTGACAAAACCAATTAAATGATTATATTTTCACTGCATCGATTATTTGAATGAAATTGTTAACAATCAAATGTTGACATGATAGCTCCTTTTTTTGACCGAACATTCAGCTGATGCTTAATATTGTTAAGTCTATTAGCTTTTCTCCAGAAGTAGATGGATAAATGGGGAGGGATACCTGAATTGAATTACACGAGGCTGTCTAAAATATAAAACCTCTCAAGCAGGCAATCTGCAAATTAAAAGAAAAGCAAAACGCATACGCAGTATTCCCCCCACTTGATTTCACACCAATGAACGTAACGATATCACCTTTCAATCCGCTCCAACTGGTTCAGTTTGTTCGAAACAATTCCCTGCACCTGAAAAGGGATAGGTTTAAACAGGAATAGGTTTTAAAAAGCCAAGTGAAAATGACGATGTGAAAGTGCTTATAATTTCTTCACTCCAAGAAATTCCTTAATCATATGAATAATGAAAAACAACATACTGCTTTAATAATATCTCCTCCAGTATGGTAACACATGAGACTTCACTAACCTGGTGCTTCACATTGCTATAGCTACCAGAAATATCACAGAGTCTAAATTACAATATTTATCATGCCGTTTAAATGCAACAGATTTATTTAGAATTAAGTTGCTTCTCATTCTGTTAAAAAAATACCAACACGGGTACCAGCCAATGAATGAAATACAAATGGTGAAACAAGTCCAACTGTTCCGAAAATTTGTGACAACAAATGCTATCCTTAAAGACACAGAAAATGCTCCGCATATTTACTGCCATTGAACCACAAATAGTTCATCTGATTTTGCTAAAGATGGATGATTACAAAAAATTATTGCTCCATTACATTACATACTGCATGAATTACAAATGATTCACTCACTTTTCGACAAGCAAGACCCCGTGACTTTTCTGCTTGTTTTCTGTTGTGGTCAGTATGCCAGTTGGCTAGTTAGTAAACTCTTAATGCTCTTTCTTAATCTTGATTTACATAGGTACCCACATGCGTATATAATCTTCCTCTGTTCCAGAAGTCGAACCGCAGATCACTGTTATGAAGACTTTAAAAATTTCTTGTTCAAATTACAACTAATCGTTTGCCATGACTACTGAACAAAAATAGTTAATCTCATCAAAAAAAAGATCATCTCATAATGATCATCAAAAAAAGATCATTATGAGACGATCTTTTTTTGATGAGATTAGCAAAGCAAAGACTAGGTGATTTCTATAACATAAACATATGATCTTAGGTAGCTTCCCCATAAAATAACATTAGCTATCATATTCTAACACACCACAATCTCAACTGGTAAGAAATTTTCACGAAATGCCCTCAATACTCAAACATCCTAATGTCCCCGCTGGAGACGTACTGGCCCTTGCATAGAATTTAGAGCATCAGCAGCATGATCACTGACCCTAAACTTATAGGGGAAACAGCAATCATTAAAGTAAAAATTAGTTATCAGTGATTTATGCGGTAAGTTTTCCGTATAACGGCCACGTTATAATTAACAATGATATTTTTTACTGATCATTATGAATCATCAGAAAAGTAGCATCAGTGAGACAAGGAAAACCCGTAACGAAACACTGCAATCATACAACAATAGTACACATACACAGAACATCGGTGATGATACCATAATGAGATGAAATAAACCACTATTTAATACAATGGAAATTACATATTTTGCTTCAAACTTTGCCTCAAATACATCCATTTAAACTTAATTTGTGCAACGAAACTCACCAAATAAATTTTTTCAAGTAAATTATAAATTTTCAGAATACATTCATCCTTTCTTCCATTTCCTGTTTAATCTCAGTACTTTGCATAATACAAATTCAGTGCTCTAATGCAAAGCTACGCATTCTCTTGGTGGAACTTTATATTAACGAAAAGCTAGGGCGAATAAATTACTAAACAAACACCTGCAACAAAAAAGTGGGAATACATTTATCTTATCCTATAGACCAGCACTGTAAAGAAAAAGAGGGAAATATAAACCAAAAGGATTCATACCTAACAACTAATTCATGGAAGGAACGACGGCAACCAAGAAGAAATTTGCACGGAATAGATGTTCTCGACCAAAATACAACTACTGAAAAATAATATTGAAGAAAGGCAAAGCTCAAACAACCGTGCAAAGATTGATAAAATACGAATTATAACTGGAATCGGTTTGAAGTTAGAGGTATTACTAAACTTAAACGGTTTTCACAGGCCATAAGAACAAGCTTCATCCACAAGACCTTAAAAACTAAAAATATTCTCGATCTCCATAGAAATTCTCGTAATGCTTACTTAAATTACAGTACTATATGAATCTCTGCTTGAAAATAATGAAACAAATTTGTGTTTGCAAGGCAAATCTTATAGGAAAATTCAGTCTTCAGCAAATCTTGAGATTCAATCTACAACAACTGTTGACAGTGCTGGCAAAAATTAAAGTGGTTTTAACAATTAAGGCTGACCATTTGTTTGAACATTTAACTGCAATCTCAGATTCGTAATATTTTAAGCCTAAACAATCACGTTCTCATTTTTCCATTGATTAAGTGTCAACAAAAACACCGGGTGACTCAATCTCTAACTGCGAATTGATCAACCAGATTTTCTTTACTCTTTTCGACGTACTTGTCCAAACAGTTGAAACACGTATACATATGCTATTCAACAAAATGCTTGTCGCAAAAACTCCGCCAACTGCAGAACATAAACGTACGAGCATTTGCAGCAATGAGCTGCAAAGAAAAAACAACACACCACATTATATTTGTTGATTTGTAATTACCCCACATAATCACTAGTGTTGGAAGCATTTTATTTAATCCTTATTTTAGAGTTAGCAAAATCAAAGAATTTCTTGCTATAGAACATCAGCAACAATAAAACAATGCAAGAAGGAAAACGAATCCATGTGCTGTTCCAGATAGGATGAAAGACTTACGACTGAACATGCCTAACTTCAATGACTGTTGCTGCAAATTCATAATGGATAATGATAGCTGTATGCTTATGTACATCTTTTTTGGGCGTTTTTTTCTGCAAAATTATATTTAACAGCAACTAATATATAAAAAGTTATAGATTCTGCAAAATTATATTTAACAACCGCTAATACATATAAAGTTGTATAATAGGACTCAGTTCATTACTGTGATAGTAAACGCCTTTCCTTACACACGAAAAATATCTGAAAATTTTCAGCAGAAAACCATCACTCGAAAGATATTAAAAAAGGACTGTTATAAACGCGATCAAACGATATGTTACGGATATTGAGTTTTCAGATTTTAAGTCATTTCGTAAAAAAATTAATTAAAATCTGCCCCACAAAAATGTTTTTAAAGTAAATTTAAAATTACTCATGTAAAATCAAACCATGAATGTCACAGAATATTGATAGGTAAGTGTAGATCCACCAAAAAGGCCACTATGATATATTCTCGTAGGTACAATTTTTAAAAAATAACGAAATTCATCTACACCTGAAAAACACCGGTATAAGACTGGAACGTTCCATACAGGTTAGCAGGAAAATATATATAAGGCATAAACAATTACATTGATAAATACTAAAATTTCCTTCTTAAGCAGTTTCTGCTTTTACGAATAAAAATTTGAAAGAAATGATTCATGAAACAAAATCAAAGTGAAATATATGGTAGTAAGCTTAAATCTGACCTGTTTCAGAAATCTGTTCTATCCCCGCTAAAGGAGTCACAAGACCGTATATTCTGGGGCCGAAATTGAATCGTTCAATTCGGTGCGAAATATTACTAGCTATAAAGAAATAACTGCATTTGTTCGTAGTTATTAATTATTTTATAGTATACCATTCAAAGTGACTCTATAACACAAAAGATTCGTTTAATGAAGATAATCATTAATAAATATCCCACCAATCAATCAAACAAACAGGCCAATAATGAGTTTTTATGAAGGATGCCAACGAACAGTATTTGTTGTATGGACAAAATAATAAGTTATAATAGTTAACTTGAAGAATGCAGTAAAAATATTACCCTACTTCAGAACGTATATCTATGTAAAAAACTTACGGCTAGAAACTCCGCCAAAATGAGCAAAAATGCCATCAACGTCCAGGCCTTTACCAGTGCTAATAATAAAACTATCACCTTTGACCTTATTAACACGCATACGACCATGTATACGGCAAGCGGTGCCTTCATTCTTTTCGGAATTACCTGTAACCAAGAAAACGCATTTATAGTTTAATTTTTTGGTTCCAAGTTACGATTTTAGAACGTCCCTCTGCAGAAAAACAAAGAAAAAAAAGGCCATGTAAAGCTGCGGTATGATTTCTTGATAGTAGTACCACAATGACACAGTTTTCATATTAAGCTTTCCGTCTTAGCAGTATAACAACCTCCCTCAAAAGGGAACTGGGATACTATCAATTAGCAGAAGACGTTTTATCGTTATTTTAACTCCAATCAGTACCCGAAAAAATTTAATAATTCTGCCTACCAAAAACGAAGCACTTTATGATTTTTTATCTTTCTTGCCTTTTGAAGTCTGATGAAACAAAACTTACTTGCAACAACATGAAATACATTAAATCCATTTCCAATTAATATCAATGTCCCACCGTCCAAGGATTGCTTTGGGTTCTTCTTCCTTTGCAACTGTATCGCATGCGCTTCTTCACGTTGCTTTGTTTCTGCTTCAGTTTTCAAACCCTCCTCCACTCGTCCGCTGACAAAAGTCATCTACGGAACATCAACAATGTTCAGTAAACAAATATTTTTAAAAAGATATGGTGAAAATTGATTTCCAAGGCCAATTGCCACCGAAAAATTTTGTAGCAACCATCGGAAAAGACGGTGGTAGTACAGCAGATGTTTAATTAGAAAAAATAGGATGCGACTTTCTTTCCTACAGTTCACCTGCGTGATATCCTGGAAATGAATAGATTACTTCATCAAGACTCTTGAACAAGGTCGTTCCTTCTTTAGTACGATGCTGTACTTTTTTCAGTTCATTCCAATACATCGCTTCTTTCTCCGTAAATTCGAAACGCGTTGGATCATACTTGAATCCATTCATAGAATTGAATTCGTGTGACGCGGTACCCGTAAGGTGTGCCATCAAATTTGTACAAGGAGTTGCAACTATCATATCCACTTCCAACTCAGGATGCCTGAATTTACGAAGAAAAAGCAACTAATCTATTTTTAAATTCCGCTCTAAAGCGGATACTTCTGCATGAAGAGTGAACCGTACAGTTGGAAGAAAAAGAAATTTTCTACTTACTCACTGAAAGCTGTGTCCACTGAGAATCTATAATAATGTCCTTCGTCACCGTAAAAATAATTCTGCAACTCACCAAAGACCAGCGCTGCGATGATGAGGAATGATAAACTTGCAACTGTAAATTACTATTACTTGGGAGTAATCAAGCAAAGAAGTTAGCACTAGATAAACGATGAGTCTTTGCTCAAGTTTCCCTTAATTAGTTGAGCTAAAACCATAGTATTGCAATCGAATGTGACCCACATTCAACATTGAAATGCTTCTGATAAAAAAAGGTTGGATACAAAGTGGCATGATAAATAACGTTAGAGAAACATTCGAGTATGCGCATCTCGACAACTTGTCGTCTGACCAATCAGTTTTTAAGCTAAGGTTTCGTCGGTCAATTTTAATTGTATAATGTAAGATTTAAAGACAACCACACAGATTACAATGTTAATTTTCCGAAAAAGCTATAAATGAATAGGAATTATTTTTTGAAAATGTTTGCATTTTCCTATCAAATAATATGGGAAGGTGATGAAGAGATTTTGAAAGCAACTCACGGAATCCACCAGTAGCTCGCTTCTCCTCACTAACTTCATCCACGGTTTTGTTAAATGCATCGAAATCTCGGACAACTTCCTGAACTGTTGGACGTCTATGGCGAACTGTTATGTTGGGCGACAGCAATGACATACTTAACATCCAACGTCTCGAAAAGCAACGATCAAGCAACACTTCTAGAGCGCTTTTCGAGTAATATACCGATATGGAAGGCACTATGTTATATGAAGAGTGTGTACGACTGTAAGAAAGATAGAGACAGAAGGATTTAGGAAGATGTGAGGAACAAAGGAGACAGCGAAGCATGAAAATTTTTGTGAGGATTCTGTGGAAAATTACATCTAATTATTGTTTGCAAGTCGAGTCTTGACCGACGATGTCTTTTGCGTACGACCTTCTAATTCTGAGGTAGGATGAGGTACGTAGGCTTCGTGACACGGGTAGTTGGCGCCGTTAATTGTGGTGGACATGTGTTGACAGGGTGATCAGTCTGCTCTTCAGTACCTATTAGAATAAAACTGTTGTGCTACGCAGCATGCAACATAAACAAAGGGCAGCATTATAGGCTCACACTGCTATCAATTCATGCTTGTAGAACGGATATGATATATTACGTGAGATGCAGGTAAATGCTTATGAGAGTGAACGTAAGTTGTCAGGAAGTGTTAAACGGGCACGAGAATGTCTTCTACCACGAAGATGAAGGATGAGCGTGTGCTTGCGTGGTGAACTTCATGGAGTGAACCTTGAATAAGAACAACTGCTCAAAGTGTTAGTAACTAACACAGGATTTAGCACTGTTTCCGGTAGTCGTTGATGGTTAAGGACGTAATAAAGCAAAATAATTTAATCTGGACTTATTAAAAACGTATAGTATTTGGCAAGGAATTTCAACGGCACGAGAACATGGATATTACACTTGGAAAAATTAATGTAACATTTAAAACAATTAATGAGTCGGATGTTTTTGAAAGGTATAAGGTCACCACACCCAAAACCGCTTAAAATTTGTGTGTGAATTGGGTAGGTGGAGTTGTTTTCACTTCGTTGATTAATATAAATTCTGTACCGTTAGCATCATGAAGTTATGCGCTGGCAAGTGCTGGATTCAAATTAAGATTCCGAATACTGCCGAATTTAATGCGTCATAGAGCTGCATTATTGCATTATTATTTTTTTCATAGCTGCATTATTTCCATAAATTTTTGAGTAAATTAAATGACTGGATTTTGGAGAAGAGGATTTCTGCACTTTTGCTCAGACACTTTATAAGTAGTTAAGGAGACAAGGAAGAATTCTCCAGTCCTTTTTTCTAAATTTTTGTTCGCTGAGCAGTTTACTGTGCTTTTAAACATAGTATTCAGCTATTAGCCTAAAGATGACATTTGCTAGCTGAGAAAGTCTTTTGACTTCATAGTGCAGTGATTGACTTGGTTACGGTTTAATAACTTCCAACAAAAAATTTTCAATTCTTGGCGTAGCAATTTCATCGATCCATCGGAATTTTCGACGTAAATAATCAATATGTTTCTTCATATAATAATGAGGCTTAGAGGCGAATCACTAGTTATAAGAACAATATTAGTGAAGAAAAAAGCTAAGTTGACAGCGCATCACGATTTGCATTTCGAATCGACAATAATGATCAGACCAATGCATCCTAAAAAGTCCATTTACTACACAAGTTAAAATCTCTGAGGTTTTCTTTCAAACATTTATAATTACTTTCAAAATTGCGGATGATCCCATTGTGGACGGACCTAATGGTGACCGTACAATCATTGACTTCGGCAATGTTCCAGCAACTCGTCCTACAAAACCAGAAACAATTAACGCAACCAAATCTATCCTCAATAAAGCATATTAAACCTATAGTAATCCTTATTCTAGATTCTTTGTTTTGACATTTTGGATATGAAATACACCACTTCAGTACATTGCATATCTTTTAGGTAATCCTTACACAAATTTGAAAGCTT